AATGACTAACAGATCTATTACCAGTCCCAAATCTGTTGGATCAAAGGATTTCTAGTCTATTAAACACTTCTGATGAGAATGTAGAAAAGTCCTTTTTTTGATCAGGTAAAAATATATAAATATAAAAAATCATAAATGTGATTCCTCTTTGCAGAGAACCACCTTTAATTAAACAGAAAATGTCATATAAATCACTTAGACTTACTCTATTTGGGCACTGTATCGACCATCTTACTTTGTTGAAACAAGAAGTCTGGGATACAAAAGATTTGGTTCCAAGGAAGTCCTATTTGCATTTCAACACAGGGACAATGCACAAAGATCTGAAAATAATAAAACCTGACATCTAAGGAACTGTACTTCGGAGAACCAATTTTAATCACACCCTGAATAAGCCCATACTGAATGCTAATAATATTCCATTGATGCTCTCGCATTCTATTGATCTTTCTTATTTCACTGAGAAAACAGCAACAGAAGAATAAGCTGTCTTCTCTCCACCATCCTGACCAACCTACCTGCACACGTAACTACACTGTTTTCCCTTTTATTCCCCTTACTCACTGGATCCTTTCCCACTCCAGTCTTGAAGACATTGCTCCAACAATTATGCCCTTTCTCTACTGTATTGATTTCCTCCACCCATAGAATCATTCCCATGAGCACACAAACATGCCCTCATGTCATAAAATACACTGCTTTTTAACCCATATCCCCAGTGTAACTGCCAACCCTATTTCCCAGCTTCCCTTCATACATAATTCCTCCAAAGAGTTGTCTTATATTCATTCTCATTACTGCCTCACCAACCCTTCTCTCATCAAGTCACTCCACTTGGGCTTTCATCCTGACTCCACTGAAATCTTTCTTGACAAGCTCACCAGGATTCTCCATCTTGCTAGAACCTGGGGTCAATTCTCAGTCCTCATTCTCTACTCCCTCCATGGTGAAACATTTGCTTTATTTTTATTTTATCTCAATGGCTGCTCCTTTTTTCTCTTTTGTTGTCCCTCTTTCCCTCTTTCAAAGGTCTACATGGTAGAGTGACCCATGAGTCAGTTCTCAGGCTGCTTCTCCTTATCTGCTTTATTTCACCTGCCTGCCTTCCCTAGTTGGTCACATCCAGACCCATGAATGTAAATTCCAACCATCAAGAGAGCCAAACATAAACCAGGCTGTAATCTCTCCAAGTTCCGGGTGTACATATTCAACTGCCTATGCAACATCTCAAACTGGACAGATATTAATCATATCAAATTTAAAATATCTTAAACAGAAATTCTTAGTGTCAACTTTCCAACTTGCTCTTCCTATCTTCCCACTTCAGTAAATTCTGCTTCTATTAACCCAATTGTTTAAGCCAACACCCATTTCTTCTCCTTTTATATCACTCCTTCCCACTTAGTTCACTTATAATCCTATCAGCATGTTCTTTTGACAGTGCCTTCAAACACATCATGAGCCTAACAGCTTCCTACTACTTCCTAACAATGCCATTCTTATCCAAACCACCACCCTGTCTAACTCAACAACTGAAACTGCCTCCATATCAGTGCTTCCTGCTTTTGCACTCAACTGGAGAAATCATCTTAGAATACAAGCAGCCTGTGGCTTTCAATTTCTCTTAGTGATTACATTACCAGGTCCTTGCCTAACTCTGATCTCATCTTGTTACTTTCCCTTTCCCTGCTCTGACCATAATGGCCGTCTTTGTTATTCCTCAGACAAGCAAGGCTAACGCCCCACTCAGACCTTTTCTATCAGCTCATAATGCCCTTTTCCCAGAAAATGACATGTCTTGAGCCCTTACTTCATGTCTCTTTTCAAATATCACCTTAAGAAAGTCATTTGTCCACTTTTCTGAAGGCATGTTATTTATAGTTTAATCAAACTTTCTTAAAGGAAGAATAGAAAAGAAAGAAAAAAAAATACATGGTCTTGTTTAAGGTGTCTAACTCTGAGCCAACAGTTATTATTTTGGCAAAATGCTTCCTGACTAAATGGATATTATCTTATTCACTTGGAACCTCTGCATTACATTTTGAGTATTAATAATTGTAGATGTCACTTAATTACCTGAATGTGAATTTTAAAATAGATTAGGGGGCTGGGCACGGTGGTTCACGCCTGTAATCCCAGCACTTTGGGAGGCCGAGGCAGGCAGATCACAGGGTCAGGAGAGAGACACCATCTTGGCTAACATGGTGAAATCCCGTCTCTACTAAAAATACAAAAAATTTAGCCGGGCGTGGTGGCGGGCGTCTGTAGTCCCAGCTACTCGGGAGGCTGAGGCAGGAGAATGGTGTGAACCCGGGAGGCGGAGCTTACAGTGAGCTAAGATCACGCCACTGCACTCCAGCCTGGGCAAAAGAGCGAGACTCCGTCTCAAAAAAAATAAATAAAATAAAATAAAATAAAATTTAAATTTAAAAATAAGATTAGAGATTAGAGGGAAAAAGCATGTTTTTCTTTCTTTTGGTAGAAGGTTAAGTCGGAAGATAGAACATTACAAACAGTGTAGGCACTGAAATGGCCCTACGGTTATAAAATAAGAACTAGTACCCTAAAATAAGTGTCCTCATCCAGACCTGAATATACAGAGAAGAAAATACAAAATTACAACATATGTCTCTGTATAAAAACATTTTGAAAGCCTTTTGTGGCTGGGTGCGGTGGCTCTCACCTGTAATTCCAGCACTTTGAGAGGCCAAGATGGGCGGATCATGAGGTCAGGAGTTCGAAACCAGCCTGACCAACATGGTTAAACCCCATCTCTACTATAAAAATTAGCCAGGCATAGCCAGGTGCGGTGGCTCACGCCTGGAATCCCAGCACTTTGGGAGGCCAAGCCGGGCAGAACACAAGGTCAGGAGATTGAGACCAACCTGGCTAATGTGGTGAAATCCTGACTCTACTAAAAAAAAATACAAAAACTTAGCTGTGCATGGTGGCGGGCGCCTGTAGTCCCAGCTTCTCGGGAGGCTGAGGCAGGAGGAATGGCGAGAAACTGGGAGGTGGAACTTGCAGTGAGCCGAGATTGCACCACTGCACTATAGCCTGGGCAACAGAGCGAGACTCCGTCTCAAAAAAAAAAAACAAAACAAAAACATTTGAAACAAGAGCTGCAAAGAGAGATGAAAACAGCACCTAGACAAGGTAAATGAAAGATAATGAGATCATTCTCTCTAGAGTCTACTATATCCATATTTCTTCTTAATGTGAAGATAGATAGATACATAGATGGAAAAAGCAAGTAAGAATGATATTCTGTGATCTAGAAGCTATCTTCTAGAATAATTCATATGAAACTTTAGTTGCTGATAACACACATATGATTATAATATCAAGCATACCGTTTTTGTAGTCTTTTATTTTCCTTTAATAATTTAAGAGAAAAGATGGGGGGAAAAAGGCTTCTCTGATAACTAAAATAATCTTCCCATAGCACATCTCCATCCCCTTACTCTGCATACTTTTCGTTATAGCACTCTCATTACCTGACATTGTATTTCCTATTTATTTATAGGTATTACGTTTTTCTTATTACAAGGTAAATTCGGTGGGAATAGAAACTTGACTGGTTGTTTACTACTGTACTCCGAGGCCACCTATCTATTTATTAAAGACCGAAGTAAAAGTCCTAAACCCCGACAGACGGAAGGACCCTCTTTTGGCTAAAGACCCCCAAACTTTAAGTTCCCAGTCATGGCACATGGCGGAACAGAAGGCTGGTCATGACCCATTTGCTTCCAATCCCTTTCACCTTTCTGATCATTAGATTTTCTCAAAAGTCAGGTTGAGAAAATCAAAGGCTGAAAGACCCTTTTGCTTACTTCATCAGAACACTCCCCCACCACTCCACACTCCTGTTTTTATGGTTCCAACATGACAGCTATTCCAGTCCACAGCTTGTTCTTGATAAACAACTTACAGCCTTGGACTGGTTTTGACTGGTCTCCTAAGGATACACAGATCATGGACTTGTGTCCTACATTTACCCTTTTAAAGTATAGGTCCTACTTATAATGCATTTAAATGTTAAATCTCTACCCTAAAGTGATCATAGGACTTATGTTAACCTAATATGCATGTGTACAGTCTCCTTCCTGAGTATTCATAGCTCCTCCTGTAGCCTGTTGAACATGTATACTTGGCTAACATTCAGCATATGTTTCTGTCTTACCCTCTACCTCCCTTGAAGTGCCTGTCTCTGGGCAGAAACCTAGGCTACACTTCCCAGTCTGTCAGAATAACCACCTTGCAAGCTGCAACCCTTTATGAAAAAAAAAGCACTCCTTTCCAAATGTATGAACTTTGTCATTCTTCAGCTGACACTATAAATGCAAAAGAGGGGCCGGGCACGGTGGCTCACATCTGTAATCTCAGCACTTTGGAGGCTGAGGTGGGCGGATCACCTGAGGTCAGGAGTTCAAGACCAGCCTCGCCAACATGGCAAAACCCTGTCTCTACTAACATGGCAAAACCCCGTCTCTACTAAAAATACAAAAATTAGCCAGGCGCGATGGCACATGCCTATAAACCCAGCTACTCGGGAGGCTGAGGCAGGAGAATCGCTGAACCCAGAAGGTGGAGGCTGCAGTGAGCCGAGATCGTGCCATTGCACTCCAGCCTGGCAACAAGAGCAAAATTCCATCTCAGGAAAAAAAAAAAATGCAAAAGAGGAAAGCAACTGAATCAAAATATACAATGGTTGTCAACAGTGAGCCAAAGAGAGCACCACCCCACCCCTCAGTTCCATCAAAGAGGAGGAAAACTACAGAGAACAATAATAAAAAAGAAGAGTGGTAAATGGGACAAATAAGTGGTTATTTTAGTACCCCCCAACTAAGACCTTAATTTGCTCCCCAGGTTGCAGACCTTTCCTCCTTGGGCCACAGACCTTTCAAGAGGGCTTTCTAAACAACATAAGGATGTGCCTCTTCCCCAACCATCTGGGGCTCCCTGTGGTGATGGCTTCTTCCTGCCCAACTGGCCCTCACCTGGATATTGTCTTCTTCCTTTCCTCACAACTTTCCAAGGCTCTTTTCCTTGTTCCAATAAGGAAATCACATCTGGTTTAGAAATGAAGCATCCTGTTTAGAAGAAAAGGAATATAAGGTACATGAAAATAAAAAATAAATCAAAATTACTTTGATTCAGTCTTGGTTAAATTATATGTCAAAACAGTAATTGATAAGGCAAAACAAAGAAGTGAAAGATGTTTTAAAAACATGTACATTAAGGTTACACAATAAATAGATATTAGAGAAGGAATGAAAAAATCTTTTCAAAATCTATATTCATATAAGTGTTTCTTCTTCAGAGGCAATAGTGGTTGAGATCACAGACTGCTGGGTGCAAATCCTGTCTGAGCCACATCCCAGTTGTGTGGCCTTGGGCAAGTTACTTCTATGCTACCTTTTCCTTCCCTATAAAATAGGGATAATCATAGTACCTATATGATTATTGTTAATACTATATTTATATATGTCTGTATCTAAACATTGCCTAGAGTATATACCAAACACTATTCATATTTCATTAGCTATTGGTTATTCTTCTTTTGCTGAGAGGAAAAATAAGCTTCCTACGAGATGTATTATTATTTCTTGGATATTCAAACAATGTTAAATTAAATGTAAAGTTCTTGGATTTTAACAGCTTTACTGCAATATAATTTATGTAACATAAAATCTAACTGTTTTAAGTGTACAATTCAATGATTTTTAGTAAATTTACAGAGTTGTGCAAACATCACCACAATCAACACTTAGAATATTTCCATCATCCCCCAAACATCCCTGCTGGTCACTGGCCGTCAATCCTCATTCCTACTCCCAGCCCCAGACATCCATTGATCTTCTTTTTGTCTCTACAGATTTGCTTTTTCTGGGCATTTTATATAAACAGAATCATATAATATGTAATCTTTTGCATCTGGCTTCTATCACTTAGCATCGTGTTTTTGATATTCTTGCATGCTATAACATGTATCAGGAGTTTGGTCCTTCAATGAATAGTCTATTGTATGACTGTGCCATATTTTATTTATCCATTTATTTAGACATTGTGAATAATGCTGCTGTGAATACTTATACATCTTTGTATAGACACATGTTTTTATTTCTCTTGAGTAAACATTTAGGAGAAGAATTACAGGGTCATATCTTTAACATCTTACATTCCCACTGTAATGTATGAGGGTTCCAGTTTTTCCATATACTCACTAATAATTATTTTGTCTTTTGACTAATAATTGTATATATTTATAGGCTACAATGCGATGTTTTGATACATGTTACTGTGAAATTAGCAAATCAGGGTAATCAGCATATCCATCACCTCAAATATTTATTATTTCTTTTCTTTGTAGTGAGGACATTAAAAACACTCTCTTGTAGCCATTTTGAAATATACAATACACATTATTATTAACTATACTCATCTTGCTGTGCAATAAAACACATGAACAAAATTCTTACGTTTTTAATTTTCAATCATAAAAGTAGGTAAAGCTGGTAAAATTGAGTATGTTTATTTATTAATGAAAGGTATGAGTTCTCTTGAATTGTAAATAAATGCTGTTGATCCATTTTGCCACTACATAAATCATATGTATTCTTTTGATAGAGTAAACTCAATAAACAGGATCTAGCTATTTCCCTTACAAATACACCAACAAACAACAAAACATCTAAAGTAATTCTGAATCCAAACACAAAGTGAAACTTGTTTTCTTTGACACTGGTAAGGCTACAAATCACAAAGATCTCAAACCCAGCCCCTTCGTTATTAAGGAAGGCCCAAGGGCTACTTAAGGATGGGGAGGGTGGATGTGCTTAATGAAAGTGCTCACTTCCAGTGAAATAAAGCTCAAAGTGTTCCCTTTAGAAAGTGGAGCAAAAATTTAGATAGTTTCCTAAAAGATACTCTTGAAATTTCCAGAGGAAAAAGCTGATGTTACAGAGAACAGAGTCTAAATTCCTAGAAGCAGACCTTACCCAGAGAGACCAAGTTGCTGTAGTTCTCCAACATCACATCTCTGTACAAGTCCTTCTGTTCCAAGTCCAGGTATTCCCACTCTTCCGGAGAGAAGTCTATGGATACATCACTGAACATCACCGATCGCTGAAATGACAAACCACACATTATAAATGAAATGGAAGAAAATGTATTTTAAGATAGAAGGAGAAAAGAGGGAAGAGATACTGCAGGAAGTGGACCATATGGTAAGAAAACAGGCTCGGGCTGGAAGCCTGCAACACAGCGAGTCAGGAAATGAGCGTGCCTGAAGCAAAGTGCCTGGGTTCCTGAAGGATCCTGTTGCTACAGACACAGCCTCTTTTTTTTTTTTTTTTTTTTTTTGAGATGGAGTCTCGCTCTGCCGCCCAGGCTGGAGTGCAGTGGCCGGATCTCAGCTCACTGCAAGCTCCGCCTCCCGGGTTCACGCCATTCTCCTGTCTCAGCCTCCCGAGTAGCTGGGACTACAGGCGCCCGCCACCGCGCCCCGCTAGTTTTTGTATTTTTTTTAGTAGAGACGGGGTTTCACCGTGTTAGCCAGGATGGTCTCGATCTCCCGACCTCGTGATCCGCCCGTCTCGGCCTCCCAAAGTGCTGGGATTACAGGCTTGAGCCACCGCGCCCGGCCGACACAGCCTCTTATACTCCGGCAAATCTTAATCTAGACATGCCTGGGAAAGAAAAAAAAAATCAGTTTTCCAATTAAATGAAATACTGTATATAAGCCTTTGCCTACTATGTCTCCCTCATAAATTCCCAAGGAAGGTAAGTTCTTCCACCCCTTTCTCCTTAAATAACAGATTGTTTTTTAAAGCCTCCCTCCGTATAATATCTTTATTTTAGAAAAGGATCTAAATGCAATTAGAGAATGTCTTCTAAGTTTGTCCTAGAAGCAGATCATATCATAAGCATTTTTCTAATTATGACTGTTAAAAATTGGTTGTATAGTCTGGGCACCGTGGCTCACGCCTGTAATCCCAGCACTTTCAGAGGCCGAGGTGGGAGGATTACCTGAGGTCGGGAGTTCGAGACCAGCCTGACCAACAGGAGAAACCCTGTCTCTACTAAAAATACAAAATTAGTTGGGCCTGGTGGCACACACCTCTAATCCTAGCTACTCGGGAAGCTAAGGCAGCAGAATCGCTTGAACCCAGGAGGTAGAGGTTTTGGTAAGCCAAGATGGCACCATTGCACTCCAGCCCAGCCAACAAAAGCAAAACTCTGTCTCAAAAAAAAAAAAAAAAAAAAAAAAAAAAAATTGGTTGTATAATAGTCTATACAATGCATATGTGAGATTTAATCATTCTTCTATACTTAGATATTTTGGTTGGACAAAACCTTAAGATCCTCCTCAATTCTGGGAGTCAACATGACTACTTATGTACCTGGATTACCTTCTCACATGCTATCACTTTCCATCCCTCACTGTATGCCTTCCTGATTCCTGAGTTAAAGGATACTGATACAGCATAATCCAGAATCACAAAGATGTCATTCTAGACCAGCACATCCTGTTCAACCAAAAATGGAATCTTGTTCCTGTGTAACTCAGGAATTCCAAGAGAAGATCTCAGATCTCTCTGTATGTAAGACCTAGCCACACCCCTAATCAGTCCTAAAAGCCTCACAGAGCATGAGATCTTATGATATACTGAGGCTGAGGCCAACTAACAGCAACTCTTACCTTTTTGTTTTTTAACTTTTTCTTTTTTTTTAAGAGACAGGGTCTCCCTCTGTCACCCAGGCTGGAGTACAGTGGCACATCCACAGCTTCACTGCAGCCTCGAACTCCTGGGCTCAAGCAATCCTCCCATGTCAACCTCCTGAATGGGTGGGATTACAAGTGCAAGCCACCATGCCCAGCCACGACCCTTATCTTATGTACTTGGAAAACTCAAGTCTGGAAAAGTTCAGTTTTCCTATAAGTGGCTAAATGGGCCCATCCTCTCTTATCAACTCACAAAGACTGGTAAAATATTTAAGAGATTTCATTTTTCCTCCATCGCAGCTTTTAGCAGAAGACTGAGCACATATAGGAGACGCGGAATGATTTGTTCAACAAATACAAGAACAATGACTAGAATAAAGAGTGTTCATAGGACAAGCATTGTGGTTCACCCGCCACTGGATGTGGAAGAACTGGAAGAAGGTTCTTCCAGTTAGGAAGTTTCAGGATAAAAAAATGGTGACAGGACCTTGACATGATAGTATTCCCAGAAGGAGAAAAAAACTTACAAGGGCCATGGTATAGAAATTCAAGAACTGGTCAGTCCTCCTTGGGGTTTACTTGCCAGGAGAAGCACCGAGTTCACAGAGGCTGATCTAGGGGGAGGAAAACAAGGCCATGAGATCAGATGGACCTCAGAAATCCCCAAATGACTTGAGTTACTATGATCTTTCCCCTCTCTTCTGATCTCTCCACCACAGCACCCCCAACACACACGTGTGCACACACACACAGACAGAGAGAAATTTGAGGGAGCCTGGACGAGTCTAATCCGTTGCTAATTCCAGGGCTGATAAGGGGCCATATCATCTAAACCATAATCTTCCTCCTTCAAAGTTTCATAGGTCTGTTTAGATTCACCAGACACAAAGAGAGAAATTCATAAAGACCAAGCCTGGCAGCCATTACCACCACAAAATTGCTGCACTGGCAGCCCTGCTTGCAGCCAGAACAACTTTCAAAGTCCTCCTGGCTCATCACTCTCATTTCCAGTCAGAATCAGAATCATCCACATTGTCTTCTGGAATGAATTCATTTGTCATTCTCTTTCTTACAACCTAGGCTGAACAGGCATGGACTCATGCTCTTGGTCATTTGACAAGAACGAATGTCTATTTATCAAGAATTCCCGTATGTTGGGTGTTATATGTGTGTGTGTATGTGTGTATATATACATACATATATAAATATATATATATATATATATATTTTTTTTTTTTTTCCTTTTTTTTGAGACGGAGTCTCTCTCTTATTGCCCAGGCTGGAGTGCAGTGACACAATCTTGGCTCACTGCAACCTCCAGCTCCTGGGTTCAAGCGATTCTTCTGCCTCAGCCACCCGAGTAGCTAGGACTACAGGCGTGCGCCACCACACCCGGCTAATTCTTGTATTTTTAGTAGACGGGGTTTCACCATATTCACCAGGCTGGTCTCGAACTCGTGATCTGCCCACCTTGGCCTCCCAAAGTGCTGGGATTACAGATGTGAGCCACCGCACCTGGCCTGTTTTATATATATTAACTCTATACTCAGGATGGCTCTTTAGCACAATAATTATTCTATCCATGCAATGGATCAGAAATTCACATGAAGAGAAATAAAACCACTTGGGCTGGGTGTGGTGGCTCACGCCTATAATCCCAGCACTTTGGGAGGCCGAGGCAGGTGAATCACCTGAGGTCAGGAGTTCGAGACCAGCCTGACCAACATGGTAAAACCCTGTCTCTACTAAAAATACAAAAATTAGCTGGGTGTGGTGGCAGACACCTGTAATCCCAGGTGAGGCAGGAAAATTGCTTGGACTTGGTGGGGGCGGAGGTTGCAGTGAGCCGAGACTGCGCCATTGCACTCCAGCCTGGGAGACAGAGCGAGACTCCATCTTGAGAAAAAATAAAAGGAAATAAAATCACTTGTAGAAATGCAGTTTATGAGTAGCAAAGCTGCATTTGGAATCATTTATCTAACCACAGAGTCAGCTTTCCTTCAACTCTAGCTCTTTTCTCTGAAACCCAGAATTTCTATTCCAGTGAGAGAAAACTGGCATGTATGATTCACTAAAAATAAAATAAAATAAAATAAAAATAACACATCAACTCGCCAACAGGTATCTGGTACTGATGCCCATATTAGTAAGCATGAGAGCAAATGAACATTCTAACCAGTATACTGCAGATTATATAGATTTTAAAGTATGTACAAGCAGCATTTAAACCATACACACTCTTTGATTCAGAAATTCTACTTTGGGGATTAAAAAAATAATTGTACATATGATCAAAGGTATGTGTATGAGTATGTGGATATTGTTCATAATAGAAAAAAGCTGGAAAGAATCTAAATGTCCTTCAATAGAAAACAGGTTAAATAAATCATAAAGCATCCATAGAGTAAAACAAACTGCTGTCATTTAAAAAAATGATGATGTAGCTCTTTTTTTTTTTTTTTTTTGAGACAGAGTCTCGCTCTGTTGCCCAGGCTGGAGTGCAGTGGCCGGATCTCAGCTCACTGCAAGCTCCGCCTCCCGGGTCTACACCATTCTCCTGCCTCAGCCCCCTGAGTAGCTGGGACTACAGGCGCCCGCCACCTCGCCCGGCTAGTTTTTTGTATTTTTTTAGTACAGACGGGGTTTCACCGTGTTAGCGAGGCTGGTCTCGATCTCCTGACCGTGTGATCCACTCGTCTTGGCCTCCCAAAGTGCTGGGATTACAGGCTTGAGCCACCACGCCCAGCTGATGATGTAGCTCTTTAACTGGAAAGATGGAAATATATTCAGTACAGTTTGTTGAGTGAAGAATGCAGTAACAGTTGTGAGTGGTATGATCCTGTTAAGGTACAGCAAAAACAGATGTGAAAGAGAGAGAGAGAGAGAGAGAGCATATGTGTGTGTGTGTGTGTGTGTGTGTATGAATCTCTAAATACTAAGTTTTAGAAAATATACAAGGACATATTCTTAGAAAAATAAAATGAACATTATGAGGACATCTGTAAAGTATACATACAAATCAGCACAAAGAAACACTGAGAGGCATCAATAGATAGTGATCTTGATTTTCTTTTTGCTTACATTTATTTCATGATTCTACATGACCATATATATATTTGAAATATGGATTTTAACTTTGCATAGTGGAAAACGTTCTTTTTTTTTTTTTTTTGAGACGGAGTCTCGCTCTGTCGTCCAGGCTGGAGTGCACTGGCCGGATCTCAGCTCACTGCAAGCTCTGCCTCCCGGGTTCACGCCATCCTCCTGCCTCAGCCTCCCAAGTAGCTGGGACTACAGACGCCCGCCACCTCGCCCGGCTAGTTTTTTGTATTTTTTAGTAGAGACGGGGTTTCACCGTGTTAGTCAAGATGGTCTCGATCTCCTGACCTCATGATCCACCCGTCTCGGCCTCCCAAAGTGCTGGGATTACAGGCTTTAGCCACCACGCCCGGCCGGAAAACGTTCTTTAAATAGTTTAGATACTTTTTAAAGTAGTCATCCCTTGAACTTGGAGAAAAAACTCAATATCTTAAAAAACGCTGCTATGTTTTTACTGGTTTTGTTGATTTCAGTTTCCAAAATTTGAACTGACTCCATTATTTCTAAGTGTGTTCATGTATGTTGGAATTCTGCTTACATAAACATGGCTACACATCTTCAATTAATGCCTTGTTTCACTGCTGCTACTTCTCATGACTTCTTGACCAAGCTTTTGTTTTGCTTCTCAAAGAGTTGTTTTAGCCATGAGGCCCTCCTAGGAGTTGCTGAATCTTCTTGTCCTGTTCATTTGCATCAACATCATGAGAATAAAAACTAAAAGGCATATGCTTATTACATAAAATCCATTACCCCATAGGAACCCCATGAGTTTGGTATTATTTGGCTGTGACCTGACAATGCTTGCTATAATCAGCTGTCTCCTTCCCATGACCTCTCAAGCCATGCCATCTGACTTCTTCAATGACCTTTACCTCACCTATCTCAGTCTTATTCTTGCATAGGCTTATCTACCTTGAAAGATAACAAACAACCTGAGGATACCAACCATGTCATTTTGGTCACTGTATTTCCCCTGAGGACTGGCACAAGATCTGGCATATTGTGAGTACTTTATAAATGTCTCATAATTCAACCCAGAAATTCCACTTTTAGGAATTTATCATTAGGAAATATTTGTAAAAGTATACAAAGATGTATTGCAAGAGGGTTCATCAAAGAATAGTTTACTGGCTGGGCGCAGTGGCTCACACCTGTAACCAACACTTTGGGAGGCCAAGGCGGGCAGGTCACTTGAGGTCAGCAGTTTGAGACCAGCCTGGCCAACATGATGAAATTCCATCTCTACTAATAATACAAAAATTAGCTTGGCATGGTGGCGGACACCTGTAATCCCAGCTACTTGGGAGGCTGAGGCAGGAGAATCACTTGAACCTGGGAGGCGGAGGTTGCAGTGAGCCGAGATTGCACCATTGCACTTCAGCCTGGGCAACAGAGAGAGATTCCGTCTCAAAAAAAAAAGAATAATTTACGACAACCTGAAATCAAATATCTAACAGTAGGCAACAGTTGAATAAATGATGTTCCACTATATTATAGCATATTATGCAATTATTATTGATGGCATTGGCCCATATTAATTAAAGAAGGAAGATATTCATGATAAATTACTAGCTATGGGAGTCAGACTAAAAGAACATGTACAATGTTGGGAGGTGGCAGATTCTCATTTATTAAAAATACAGGCTTTGTTGTCAAGATTCAGGATATGAACAGAGCTCTGGGAATTATTAACTGTGAGAATTTGGACACATTAATTTTCAGTGTCTCAGTTTCCTCAGAGATAAATTAAGGAATCAACAGTACCTACCTTATAGGGTTGTTGTGAAGGTTAGGAACATAATACGTAAAGCACTTAAAATGGCTTACTGTAAGCACTAAATTCAGTGAAAAACATTACATACCCCTCATTCCATTATTTTAAAAATTATCTTCGATAATTTTCAATTTAAAAATTTGGTATTTGCTGATAAATTATCTTTAATAATTTTAATAGTAGTCCCTTTCTCTAAAAACTTCTTGAGATTTTTCAGCACTGCTCTTAAAACACTGATAAATGTTAGAACTAGGCTTGAAAACGTAATTCTTTTTTTTTTTTGAGACGGAATCTTGCTCTGTCGCCAGGCTGGAATGCAGTGGCACGATCTCGGCTCACTGCAACCTCTGCCTCCCGGATGCAAGCGATTCCCCTGCCTCAGCCTCCCAAGTAACTGGGACTACAGGCACCCGCCACTACGCCCGGCTAATTTTTTGTATTTTAGTACAGACGGGGTTTCACCATGTTGGCCAGGATGGTCTCGATCTCCTAACCTTGTGATCTGCCTGCCTCGGCCTCCCAAAGTGCTGGGATTACAGGGATGAGCCACTGCGTCTGGCCTATGTAATTCTTCTTAATAATGTTATCAAAAAAGGATTCACAGAAATCAAAAAGTAGAGCAAGGCCCCTGTTGCTTTCCATCCCTAGTAGTTCCAAAGGGAAATCATTCCATATCATAAAACTAGCTCAAGAATTTTGCTTTGATAAGGTATCATATTAAATACTTTTTTTTTTTTTTGAGACAGTTTCGCTCCTGTTGCCCAGGCTAGAGTGCAATGGCACGATCTCGGGTCACTGCAACCTCCGCCTCCTGGGTTCGGTTCTCCTGCCTCAGCCTCCCAAGTAGCTGAGATTACAGGCATACGCCACTACGCCCGGCTAATTTTGTAATTTTTTTTTTTTTTTTTTTTTGAGACGGAGTCTCACTCTGTCGCCCAGGCTGGAGTGCAGTGGTGCGATCTGGGCTCACTGCAACTCTGCCTCCTGGGTTCACACCATTCTCCTGTCTCAGCCTCCCCAGTAGCTGGGACTACAGGTGCCCGCCACCATGCCCAGCTAATTTTTTGTATTTTTTTTAGTAGAGGCGGGGTTTCACTGTGTTAGTCAGGATGGTCTCGACCTCCTGACCTCGTGATCCGCCTGCCTCAGCCTTCCAAAGTGCTGGAATTACAGGCGTGAGTCACCGCGCCCGGCATAATTTTGTATTTTTAGTAGAGACAGGGTTTCACCATGTTGGTCAGGCTGGTCTCGAACTCCCGACCACAGGTGATCCACCTGCCTTGGCCTCCCAAAGTGCTGGGATTACAGGCGTGAGCCACCACACCCAACCTCTTTTTCATTTTTCAAACAAAGTGTTGGAGAGTCTTTGTCTCCTTAAATGATCAATTGTTGTGATTCTATTTTGGAAAACAAACACATGTGCACAAGTGCACAGAAAAAAATGGAAAAACAAACATTAGAATAGTAATATTTATTCTGCACGGTGAGACTATGGGCAACTTAAATTTTAGTATTATAGAGTGAAGATCACTGGGTGGTAGGGGATGGAGAAAATCTTTTCTGAATAGTACTAAAAATAGTTGGCAGCTTAAACCAGGACTTACTTTCTTTTTTTTTTTGGAGCCAGAATCTCACTCTGTCACCCAGGCTGGAGTGTAATAGCAGGATCTCGGCTCACCGCAACCTCTGCATCACGGGTTCAAGCAATTCTTCTGCCTCAGCCTCCCTAGTAGCTGGGATTACAGGCATGCGCCACCATGCCCAGCTAATTTCTGTATTTTTAGTAGAGACGGGGTTTCACCATATTGACCAGGCTAGTCTCAAACTCCTGACCTCAGGTGATCTGCCCACCTCAGCCTCCCAAAGTGCTGAGATTACAGGCATGAGCCACTGCGCCCACCCAATTAAACTATTTTCATACAAATAAAATTAAAAACAAGAGTTGTGAAGAGGGAATATCTTTTAGTTGTTAAGAAAATTGTGATTCTATAAGCCTGTGACATGAGTGGGTTTTGGGAAAATAAACAACAGCATGGCACAAATAAGTAACACCCATCAGTTCTTTAACTGTTCTTCATCAAAACGATGGGCTATTTTCACTATCAAGATTCTTCTATGAATGAACACAATCAAGTAACATTCCTAAATTCAGTAAAAGTATACCAAAGCAGACAGAACAGTGTGGTAAACAACTGTTTATCTCTTTTTCTCCACTAAGAAACTAGTTTTATATTATGTATAATCCTTGCAAAATGTTTTATTAATCTCTGTTCTAAGAGCTTTACACATAGTAATTAAAAGAAGGCCCACAGAAGTAATGAAAAATATCTACCAAACGGGTATGTGCATACAGGCTCTCGGGAGCGGACCTAGGTATCAACTCAATGGACAGGACATTTATGGAGAATGAAACAAATATTCTCATGTCCTAAGAAATAAGAATGCATTTCACAGAAGAAAGCAGAAACACCCACTCGCCTCGACCTTGACTTAAACAGGCAACAGCAACTCATTCCTCCTCCCCCTCAGACCCCTTTTCTTAAAGAGTTGGGCAGGACTGGCTAAGAAGGGAACCTGGCTTTTCTTGCAGCCCAGCCTCGCATGGTTAAATTAGGGCACAATGCCACTACCGCCCACCCACACATAACCAGAGTAACATAAGAGAAGGGGTTGTTAACTCTTCCCAGTATCAAAGAAAGATCAGGGTCATGGATGCCCGGGGCTGGAACTGGAGTTCACAGTAGCTTCCTGAAAGCAATGCTGTGGTTCTGAAACCTGCAGCTGGACTCTTCAGAGCTGTGAATGTACGTGCATGGGTCCGGGTCCGCGGGGAGGTGGCGTGGGAGTCCCTCCAGGAGCAAGCATGGGCGGGAGCGGGGGCTCGTTCAGTTCTAACATTCCTATCCCAAGGTCGGGTCTGAGCCTTGTTCCGCTGTTGCCCAGGCTGGAGTGCAGTTGGTGCTATCATAGCTCACTGCAGCCTCGACCTCCTCCTAGGCTCAAGCCATCCTCCCGCCTCAGCCTCTCCAGTAGCTGGGACCACAGGAGAGCGCCACCACACTCGGCTCATTTTTTAAATTTCTGGTACAGATGGGAGTTTCGCTTTGCTGCCCAGGCTGGTCTCGAACTCCTGGCTTCCTGCGATCCTCCCGCCTCGCTCTCCCAGAGCGTTGGGATTACAGATGTGAGCCACCTGGCCCGGCCTAGTCTGAGCCTTTCTGCTGGGAGTCTTTTTTCTGGCGCGCAGAAACTAACCAAGGGCCATTTCTCTGCAGCTGGGCCCGGTGTAGGCAGAGGATGCTGGGGTCAGTCACGCACTCCACGGCCACAACAACCTTCGCTCATACAATAGGCTCTGCACCCAAGTCAGCCGCACAGACGCCGTCACATCCCAGCCCCGGCCCCGTCACGCCCACGACACACACACCCGGGCCTGAGGCGCGGGGTCCCGCCGCTCTGCGATACTGCAGTGGTCCCGCTCCCCTCTCCTTACCCCGTGCCGCAGTGCTTTTCCTACGGATTGCCAGGACCGACGCTTCGGGCCAGGACTGCTCACTCGGGGCGCGAACCCGAGGCACAGAGATGCCGGAACAGAGGGAGCCGCGGCCGGATCGGGCCACAATCCCCGGGGCCTAACGGGCTGCGCGCGGGGGCTGCTGGGAGGGCCGGGCGCGCTCACGAAGTGCGCAGGCGCGGCCAGTCTCAAGGGTCCGCTCACTGGTGCAGCCCCACGCTCTGTGTGAACCGCGAGCCGGAGTTAGGCCTGTCCCAACGAGGCTGCGCTTCGAGCCCCTTAGCGCTTGCGGATAGGGCGGCAGGGCCTGGAAGGGAGCGGGGACAGATGGCTGGCGCGTTAAAGAAAGGCGCCCGCGACCGCCTCTCCATAGGGCCGACTAGGGAGCTCTGCGAGCGAGGACGGCGCTGCGGGTCTGTCCTTGGCGCGGTCCTGTCCCTGGCACGGTCCTGTCCCTGGCGCGGTCCTGAGTGGGATTCTTTCACTGGGTGTGGCTGGTTGGGATTTGAGACGATGTGACTCGGCAGACTTGGGGATGACCGGGATGAGGTTTGTGACAGATTGTGTGACTGGAATTGAGTCGAGCTCCGTAGGACTGAGAGTACCGTGGGCGACTGTGAGGCCACCCGGTTGACTGCGTGCGCTTGCGTTTCTGTGAGCGCGTATATAACCCACGATAAACTTTAATGTGGCGCGGTTTTTTTGATGTTTGTTTTCCTCTTCGGATCTTTCCTGGAGATCGTGTGAGTCAGTGTGTGTCTGAGAAACGACGCCCCTGATTGTGTGGTGGGTGTGTGCCCGCGGGGCTGTGACGAAGTGACTGGATAATTGATTGTGACCCAGAGCCTCGCTCTCCTCAACTACGAAACAGAGAGGGGAATGTTGCAT